TTGATTGAATGAATAGAAATGCGAGAGAGAGAAAGAAAAAAAAAATTCCGATTGGATATAATCATCTCTTATATATGACAGGGAAGGACGAACGAATGAGTGAAGTAGAAGTATGTGCGAAATGACAAGAGGATCTATATAGAATATATTATTAAAATAAATTTCGAGAGAATATGTCAATTTTTTCTTATAATTGAAATTTTTTTTTTTTGATAGATTTTTTTTGTATTGCAATAAAAATAAATATTTTTTTATAGTTTTTTTTTCTTTTTTGAGATTACGAATAAATAGATATGTAAATTGATCTATTAATATATATATATATATATTACATATTCAGGAGAAAGAAAAAAAGAAAAGAACGTTTTATTGTTTTTTTTTGATTTAGTAAGAGTTGTTCATAGAAAAGTCTAATCAGTTTGTAACATATTTATAATCAAGGATATCTTAGGTGAGAAAGGAGAGCTCGGTGAATTTAGAGAAGAGGTACTAAAGACGATCGTCTCTTTCTTCCTAGCTATTTTTTGAATTTTTCTTAGTGGAAAATGAGCCGATGTGACCTCTAATTTGATATGAAAACACGTTTTGTGACTATGATCACTCTCATGCATTAAAATTTCCTAGATCCGCTACTATCGGGGATGACTCCCTGCTTGCAGAGATATGCCTTTAGGATATGAGCAGCTCCTCTCACTTTGCCAAAATCGTAAAATGGAAAGAGAAAGTTCAGTAGTCCCACACCTTTTTAGTTCTCAAAAAATTTCCTTGCATCTCCACTTTTTTTTCTCTTCATCACATCCTTGCTTGTTTGTAATCTATATAAATATCACATACGTTTGAAAAATACTCTATTGAGTTGCAATTCATAAGTCTTTTTCTTTCTCTCTCTCTCTCTCTCTCTCTCCCCCTCTTCTTGATATACTTTTCAAAAGAGCGTGAGTACATATGCAGTAGGTAAAGAGCGGTAAGTTATCATCAGCAAAGAAAATCATCTTATATATATCGAAACATTTGAAGAGTGTCTATGTATAAAACGATATAGATTTAAATTTTAATGATAACATATTCATCATCATTGTGAATACGCGTATGTATATTTAAATCTAAATGATCATCATTCTATAGACAGACTAGAAGAAGAAGAAGAAGAAGGTGGGTATCGATTAACAGTAAGCAAACATCACCACGAGCACAATCACTATGAACTATTAGTCGAATGACAGGCGACTAGTGAGTGAATATGTGTATTTAGAAGTAAACAATCGTGATGGTGACGGCGGCGAACGTGTTTCTATTTGATTGATTCGTGCTTTCATTGTGGTAATAAGAGACACATTATAGTCTGTTAGCTAGTCTATTGTTCTACATCGATCTGCTGTCATTTACCAATCAATTGAGTATGAAGGATTAGTTAGATCGTGTGAAACAAAAAAAAAAAAAGAAATCTGTCTCATTATTTCGTTTTCGTTTTTTTTTTTTGACCAATAATTTTAACTTGCAGTTTTATTTTTTTGTGGAAAGTCGATACGCATTGATTATATGTACATACCTATATATATATATATATTTGAGGTAAACGAAATTTGAAACATGCAATGAGGTAATAATTCAAACGCAAAATCATGACGCCTGATTTTTGTTTGTGTCAAGTCAACGTTGATTTTTTTTTTTAATTTGTTAGATATTTATATGTGTCGGATATTCTCAATGCTCTATTGTTATATAAAAGTTGACTTTAGATATTATATACACGCACATGTTAGATGAATCGATGATATAATGGAGACGATCATTGAATAAATGTTATTTAATTATTTTAATCAAGAAAGAATTTCAGTAGTGAAAGAAATTTTCATGAAAAAAAAGTCAAGTTGAAAGATCAATCAAAAAGAGAATATTTGTCTTATTTTCTTGCTATTACATAAGACAAATTAGAGAGAAGATCAAAAATATTGATAAGATAATTCATCTTTTTCGAATAACTTTCGAAGTGAAAGTAGATAATTAAATTTTATTGAAGTTTATCATCTCTGTTATGACATGGTCAATGCATTTTATATAATAATAATTAATTCAGTAGTAACAAGAAACATATATGTTACAGATAGAATTCGTTTTTAATTAAGTGTAAAACTATGAAATAATTTTCGTTTAGCACATATCTGCTTTTTATTCTTACTAGACTGAATATTCATTGCTATTGATATGCACACCAATGACTTCTCATGCGTCGATATCGAGAAATAATTTTCGAATGTATCTTTATGAATAAGTGAAGTAATATTTTTGGAATATATAATTCTAAGAGAAGGCAACTATTATTCGACAACGGAGAATATGCATATAAATTAAAGTATCCTTCATTTTTTTGGGATTGGAAAATAACTCAACACAATTTAACAATAATAAAAAAAAAATACTCCTCAAAAAACATAAACTTAAAGATTCTTCCTCTCTTTTTTTTTGTTTGGTCGAAGCTTGCTAAGACAAATTGAATTTCAACTGAGAACATTGGCGAACTTTACAACTTCTTAGATTAAATTAGACTTTAATTAAAGCTAAATATACCTTCATATATCAGTTCTTTATTCTCATGTTTTTTAAATCTTTTTAAAATTCTGTTTAGGAAAGAAGAATACTTCTGTCTTTCGGCTACCTTGCGGTATGAGATACTGCCTAGTGGTAGATTCCATAATCCAATATTGTTCCTCATATACATTAACTAATCATACACTAGCTACAAGAGCAGATATATGTCACAATATGGTCACTATGCTATCGGGCTGATGATTCGAGACGAATAATTGTTAGTGACTTGCCCAGGGTCATTTCATGGTTGATGGTATCCAGATTTTAACACAATATCTTGTGGATATGTGCTGAACTAAGCTTCGTTTAATTTTTGTCTAAATCTCAACATTGCCTGACACACATACATATATATACGTTTTGAACTATTATACAGATTATAACTTGTATGATATTCTATATTTAAGTAACCTGTCTATAAGCGTATCTCTTGTTTCGTTTATGGCCCTATTATCACACTGATCTATCATTTTATATGTATATGAAGGAAGAAACAAGCACTTTTAGATCTGAAAGTATACAAGAATATTATGAAATCTTATATTCAAATTCTTTTAAAGCTTCATGAAACTAAGTAGAGTTCCGTAAAATAGCATAGAATTCTTGAACTGTTGTAGTTTAATGAAATTGTGGCTACTGCTAAAGCTCTGATATGACAGAATATCATATTCTAGATCTAATATTATGATATAGGATTCCGAAATTCTTCAAGATATCAACCGTAGAGCTTCATATCATTTTGCACTAGTCTACTTGCCTATACAATTTCAGAATTTTATATAGTTCGATGATTGCTCAGAGAATTCACTGTGTCATTTTTAGGTATACGTAGCAGTGTAACCAAGAGTGAGTTAGACTGGTCGTCTTCGCCTCCTACCACTAGAAAACAATCACATCATCGACATTATATTGCATGGATTTCCTTCAAAATTGTAGGACACTATCCTACTATCCACAATCTTCTGGTTACGCAACTACGTTACACGCTCCATATCATGCTTTTACCAAAAAAAACTCAAAACTTGTGTATCTTTTCAATTCCATTGTTTATCGATAGGAATATTTGCAAAAATCAATGAATGAAAAATATATTGATATTAATCAAAGAACTTTCTTCTGAAAAGATTTGCGACATTATCATATAATATAAACAGCTCTGAAAGCCTTTATTACACAATTGGAATTAAATAAATTGCTTTTGTTAAACATCTTTAAACTCTTGTTATATAGATAATCATTTACGAAAGAATATTAATGCTATAAAAATCCATTTATTGAATGATGTCGCTAGTCTACAGACAAATTTTCTATAATTATTGTATAACACACAAGAAAGAAATTAATAATCAAATTTATTTCTTATTTGTTGGAATGTTGCAATCATTTTTTATTATCTCTTTTATTTTTATTTTTACATAAACATAGCAAACTGATATACCTATGTAGGAATAATAGACAATAAACAAAACTTTATTCTTTACCTATTCTTATCGAAGAATAAAATTTGTTCTTTTCTAGGACAATATATTTACTTTATTAAATTCAAAAAAAAAAAGAAACTATTAAAATTAAATTTTTGTTGTCAATGACAAAAAAGAAATATATTTTATAATTAAGTATAAAATGAAAAACAAAAAAAAACAATATTTTATCTTTATTTTTGTTTTGTTTTTTTTTTAGGTCTTCTACAAAATAAATTACAGATAATCACAACAGTAAATGAAAGAAATTATTAAAGTAAATTCTAATAAAAGAAAAGCAAAAAAAGAAAGTGAAATTAATTATTTATTTCTTAATAGAAAAAATAAAACAGACATATCTTTGCATGTTTAATAAAATATTTTAATCAACAAAAATGATTTTTCAATCGAGAAAATAAGAATTCTGTTACAAGTGATGGTTATGTCGATTTTGAATATATATAGTTTTTATTTTATGATTAGTTTTTTTGGTTTCTTCTTCTAACGTCGATCTCTAAAATGACATTTATCATATTTTATGTCATTCAGTGAATTACATCAACAAATTATCTGTTTTATCGTTTACCACAAAATAATTGCATGACTGTTTAACATTATTTAAATGCTTATTCCACATGTTTATGGAAGTTGAGAAATTATTTATTATTTAGAATTAAATTATTTATTTCATCTTGTTGAAATGTATTGAAAGAAGAAAGGCAAACATCTTGAATATTGAAGATCTTATATTAAATAAATATGTAGTATAGTTATAGATGCTTATTGTTAAGAAAAGTTATCAAAACTATTTAATTAAATAGAAAGGAGGATACAGTTAAAAATGATTTTATTGCTTTATTTCATCATTTTATATTAGTAATTCATGATGAATGATTTTGGCACTTTGTTTTTTTTTTGTTTTAGATTTTATTTAAAAAAAGAAATAAAGAAATGGATCAAGTACAACAATATACTGAATCATGCAAACAATTTTTTAAGGATTCATATCGTTTAATTAAAAAATGTACTAAACCCGATCGAAAAGGTATTCATCAATGTTTTCTATAGAACTCGTATTAGGTTTACATTTTTGTATATATTAACTTATCCTATTAAAATTTTAGTAGTCGAATATATATTATAATGTAATTAGCTAGTTATTGAATACATAACACAAACTAATCAATCATAATTCATTTACTTAGAAACAAAATCAAAAGAATGATTGTCTATGTCGCAATCTCAGTAGCTCGAACTATTTCATATATATGAGCTTGTCAGAGGAGTTACATTAGAAAATTTTATTTCTATAATAGAATCGAGTTAAACTTTGATCAATAACATCATGTGCATAACTGCGAACAACTTCTGGAGACATATCTAGAAGAAGAGGAAGAAGATTAAAGTCAATCTGTGATATTTAAAACTAATACTTGAAGATCATGTATTGTAACTTAAGAAAATTAATCATTTTCGGATCCAATGAATACTCTCTCTCATTGTCAAATTAACTAATTTAAAATATGAATTACCCCGTAGGATGTATGAACCATGCTATTCGAATTTCAAGGTATTTATAGTTTATACCGTGTGATCACGCTTCAAAATTTCAGCAATATTGATTTTTCTTTTTTTTTTTCGTCATGGTTGGATGAAGCTTCTAGAGTTATCTAGGGGAAAAAAAGTAATTTTACGGAAAAATCCAATATACAGGTAATTAAACACTGTTGTATAATTGCTTTTGAATATGTGTGATATTGTTTTACCACGTCGAATTCTGTTCAACTATGATGGAAAGAAAAATCAATATTGCTGAAATTTTAAAATGTAGATATATGACATTGACTGTCAATACCATGAAATTTTAATTTCTCAGTTTATGCACCTTACGCACAGCTCATATTTTCAATTAGTTACTTTAATAGGGAGAATATTCATTGCACTCAAATATGATCAATCTTCTTACAGTACACAACCTTCGAATTGTTGATTAAAAAAGTTCGTAATTTTCAAAGGGATGAAATATTTATTTTTCTAAAAAATATTTTTGTTTAAAATTAAATCTAAATGTATTATGTTCATAATTGTTTAGAATATCAAAAGATTGCTATGGCAACAGCTATTGGTAAGATAAAATTCTTAATAATAAATAAAATCTTTTTTATATTTAAAAATAAAAACTTAGGATTTGCTATTATGGGTTTTATTGGTTTTTTTGTTAAACTTATTCATATACCTGTAAGTATTTATCATTTATTATTAAATCAATTTAATCTTTTGAATATTTTAGATCAATAATATCATTGTGTATGTTAATGATTGAATTAATATTTCGAAATTTATATTTTGATTTTTTGTTTTAGTGGTTCATAAATGATCATCAATCTTAAAGCTAATCGTTTCCTTTTTCTTCTTCCATAAAAGAAAAATCATAATTATTGATTTGTAGAAAAAAAATATATATATTCATAATAAAATAAAAAAAAAAAAAAGAAAAATTTGATTTTAAACTTTCTGTTTATTTTTAAGATGACATCAACTGTCGAAACAGATTTAACACAAAAATTAGAAACAAGTAGTTTAGAGGCAGCTAAAAATGAAATATCAATTGGTAAAGATACAGCTGATATTATAAAAGCTCAAGCAAATGAAGCATTTAAAAGTAAAACAAAACAAAAAACTTTGTTGTTTTTTTTTTTTTTTTTGTTGAAAACTATTTCATTTTGAAATCTAGATGGTGATTATGAAAAAGCAACTGATTTATATACAAAAGCAATTGAAATATATCCGGATGCGATTTTATTTTCAAATCGTAGTTTTTCTTATCTTCGTCGTGAATGGTATGGTTATGCATTAATTGATGCTAAAAAAGCACTTGAATATGATCCAAAATATATCAAAGTAAATCATTTTAATGATTGTATATAGAAGCTGATTAGAAAATTGCATGTCAACTTTTTTCATTAGAGAACGAGATTATTTATAGAGAAAGACTTGTTCTATTCAATGGTGTATATATAGATATATATTATTGAATTCTGCTACATGCTGAAAAGAGAGAAAATTAAATTGATAAAAACTATAGATTTCATATTTTTAAGAAAATTCTCCTATACTAAATTGTAAATCATGTAGAATCAATATATCATTAAATTCTTCAAAAAATTTCTTCAAAAAATGACAATAAAAAAGCTCTAACACATAGCAGTTATATATAACGCATGTACAAATTTACATTATCATATCTCAGTAAAATATTAATAAATAAAGTCGCACAGGACAACTCTATATATCGTAAAGAAATCTCTACAATTTTGTGGATTTGAAATATATTTCAAATTGCTAAACATGATACTATGAGTCGACAGTATGAGCTATCGAACGGTATACACATCGTTGGACAGTGGTGAAGCCAGAATGGACTCAGTCTATCATGATCCCACCATGAGCTGAAATATTGCCTCTGCCAAATCATTGAACTAGAATGTGGATCTATGGTGAAAATTCCAGTAAGATTGGATTTCAAAATACTTTCTTTTATAAATTGGTTTTCTAGAAATCCTATCAAATCTCGAAGCAAAAAATTTTGTTTTACCATAACCTAAACATTCTGAAAAAGGATTCATATTCAGTTATAAGAGCATTTTTTCATACTCCATCACGCCGCTAACGAAAAGTAAATTGTTGTTGTTTTTTTTTGAAAAACCTAGTAGCGTCAGAAGTGTTCTACAGAATGTACTATTTAGTTGTCAAACATGTTGCGTCAATTCGGAGTTCTTTTTTTTTAAAACTAAAATACATGAAGTGAAAGATAATGTCAATTTATTTTTGTGACACATCGCTAACACTTGTTTTTTCTTACTAATAACTTTTCTGAACAAAGATTTCTAGAGCTGATTTTTTCAGAACATCTAAAATAACTTAACATATAAAAATTAGCTCTAGGAAAATTTATTATTTTGAGATACATGTATTTTAATTTTGCAAGGTCACGTTGCCAACGAATGACTTTGCCTATACACCGTTGAATAGAAGAAGTCTTCCTGAACAAACCTACATATATTTCGTTCTCTAAGCAAAATTTTATAATTAGTTTTTCATTGTAATTTTTGCTTAGGCATATTATCGTCGAGCATCTGCTTATATGGCTTTAGGAAAATATACATTAGCTTTATCTGATTATGAATATGTAAGTTTAATTTATAAATTTAAAAGAGAAAAAAACAAAACAAGATAATTTGATGTTTGAATTTCAAAAAAAAAAACCAATTACAGGTCACAAAAGCATGTCCGAATGATAAAGATGCAACAATGAAATATGAAGAATGTAAAAAAATTGTAACACGTATTCGTTTTGAAAAAGCCATTGCTGTTGATGAATCATCAAAATCAGTTGCAAATCAAATTGAAATTAATACAATGAGTAAATTTTTCTTTTTATTTTTTGAATTTATAATGTGTTTTTTTAAATTTTATTAATTTATTTTAGCTATAGAAAAAGAATATGATGGTATACATTTAGAACCAGATGGTCGAGTAACTAAAGAATTTATGTTTGCACTTTTACCATATTTTGAAAACCAAAAAAAACTTCACAAAAGATATGCTTATCAAGTATAACAAAGAAAAAAAACTAGATTTAAATTTTTTAAAAAGAAATAATAATTTAATCTTATTTTAGATAATTCTACAAATTCTTACAATGCTCAAATCATTACCAACATTAATTGATATTACTGTACCAGCAGTAAGTATTATATAATTGAAAAAAATTGAAATATATTTTTGATCATATTTCGATTTAGAAACATAAATTTACTATTTGTGGAGATGTTCATGGACAATTTTATGATTTATTAAATATATTTAAATTAAATGGACCACCATCCGAAGAAAATCCATATGTAAAAAAGAAAAAATTGAATAAAATATATTTTCATAAAAACAAAAATTTATTTTAGTTATTTAATGGTGATTTTGTTGATCGTGGTTCATTTAGTGTTGAATGTATTTTAACTTTATTTGGCTTTAAATTACTTTATCCTAATCATTTTTTTCTTGCTCGAGGTTAATTTAAATCATATTTTGATTTAATTTCGAAAAAAATTCTTTTTTTTTTTGTTTTCTAGGTAATCATGAATCATTAACAATGAATCAAATGTATGGATTTGAAGGTGAAGTTAAAGCAAAATATACAGCACAAATGTTTCAATTATTTACTGAAGTTTTTAATTATTTACCATTATCACATTGTATTAATAATAAAATTCTTGTAAGTTTAATTATTGTTTAAATATTATCTAAGAGAAATATTGAAGTAAATTAGTCAAAATTTAAACTTCCAAAGACCATCACAGACCGTATATCAATAACGTCTTGTTATAAAATAATCTCGCAGGGATTGCGGATCTAGAATTTTTACGATGGGAAGGCAGGGACGACGATGAATATAAAACATGCTTTAAAGCTCATTTGGAAAAACTCTGACAAATCTTTTGGAAAGGAGGCGATCGCCCCTCTCTGTCGAAATCCGCGCTAATAACTTTCTTTTTTTCTTTTATTATGGATTTATTTTGGGTTTTAGGTTATGCATGGTGGATTATTTAGTAAAGATGATGTTACATTAAAAGATATACGTGCTGTTGATCGCGTTAAACAACCACCTGAAGAAGGATTAATGTCAGAAATATTGTGGAGTGATCCACAACCACAAAATGGTCGATCGGAAAGTAAACGTGGTGTTGGTAAATATCGAAAAATCTTTTTTTTCTTTATTCTATTGATATTTAATGTCAATTTAAATATTCTATTTTAGGTCTTCAATTTGGACCTGATATTACTGAACGTTTTCTTAAATTAAATAATTTAGAATATGTTGTTCGTAGTCATGAAGTTAAACAAGAAGGTTATGAATTAGCTCATAATGGTAATAAATAAAATTCTATAATTTAAATATATAAATATATTGTTTATATTCATATTTAAGGAAAATGTATAACCGTATTTTCAGCACCAAACTATTGTGATACAATGGGAAATAAAGGTGCTTATATTACAATAACTGGTGATGATTTAAAACCTAAATTTACATCATATGCTGCTGTACCACATCCAGCTGTTCGTCCGATGATGTATGCAAATCAATTATCAATGTTTGGTTTGATGTAAAACATCATTACGAATAAGCTTTAAGTTTTATTACAAATAACCTATCATCCCGGTGACTTCTTTTTGTTTCTTCTTCGTTTTCTTTTTTCTTTTGTGATTACTTTCCTTTGCTTGTTCTACTTTTTACCTATTCATTTTAGAATTCCGTTGGTATGTGCTTTTCTTCATTTTTCACTCGATATTCTTTTTCTTTTCTCTTTTTTTTCTAATTCTTGCTCGTTGAAGTTCCATACCATTCTCATATTTGCGCAAGTTTCGCGAATCTCTGTAGTTCTTGGATGTTCCTTTTTTTTTTTTTTTTTTACAAGACTTTTCTTATTCAGGAAATAAAAAACAAAACAAACGAATGATGATAAAACAGTATTTCGATTGGTTTGTTTTTGATTTTGTCTATAATAGTTGATTTAGAATATGATCAACAAATCCAATTTTCAATATTATTTTTCATAATGTTATGCTTCTTTATGTAAAATAGAAAAATGAGAATACAGAAAGAAAGAAAGGCTTATGATAAGGGTGAATATACTAATTCATTATATATTTTGTTTATAAATAAAATAATGTAGAAATATCAACGTACGATAACGACAAGACATAACAGCATCATATATACATAGGACAAAGGTTAGAGATCATATCAGATATAAAGATATGCATAAAATAGCTACCATAGCGAAGAATCATAAGAATGAATCGGAAAAGGACAAGAATAAAGATAAATCGTTATCCAATATTGTAGCGTTAGAACTATCCTTCCCTATTAATTGATCAGTTGAGACATTTTTCTATAGTTGAAACAAACAGAATTAGATGTCTAGATTTATATACGACATTGACTATCAATTTTATATCTAACCAGTTGTCATGAAATGTATTCCACATCAAGGATTCGAATAGTTATATGCCATCAATAGACATTTGTAAAGCATTTCTGGTTTCTTGTTGTAGAGCAAAGAGATAAGAAAATCATTTCAATAATAAGAAACATCAATAAATTTGTTCAGGAAAGAAATATAAAAAATAGTTTAGGTCAACAACTTAGTAATTAATTGGAAATGAGAATATCGCAAATAGCCGAGTAAATAGGGATAGACTGATTTTATTTTAATCTAATTCAATATGTCTAATCAATGTCATTGATACATTAAGCAATTATAGTTTATAGTATTTCATAGGTTAGAAAAGCGTTTTTCTCGTAATGTAGTCATCTGCAGATTGCTAAAGAACTTTTGTTTCAGAAGAAGGCTTTGGTAAGACTAGAAAAATTCTAAATGTGATTCATGCCCATGGATCTCTGGAGCCGAGTTATGACCGTTTTAATGAATTTTCGATTCAGCATTAGATATTTACCGAAAAATCAAATAACGGAATTTCGATCTGAAACTTTACCCATAGATAGGAGTGATGACTCTGAGAAGGTCCTGAAAATTTCAGTCGAAAAGAATGTTCCTTTATCGAGATATGAAATTTTTAGGTCAACTCAATTTTTGTAGCAAACGACCATTTTTTGAAAATTCAATATTTCGACAAAGGAATATTCTTTTCGGCTGACACTTTCAAGGTATTCGAATTGTTTGTGGGTGAAATATTTTTCTTTAGTCTTACCGAGATCTCCTTGTGAATTGAAACGACGGGTATCAGTTCGAGTAGTTCCTTCGTTAGATGTTTCAATTGAAGTTTTTTTTTTTCAACATAATTTTGCTGTTTTATTACTAATTTTTTTGATGAGTTTTCGCTATCTTGATTAAGACAATAAAACAGAAATTAATAAAAAGTCATTTATTGAATCAATCTCAATCGAAAATAAGACATCATCGGATAGAAACACACTTTCATTCTTTTTTTCAGATTAGATGAAAGAACGAAGGAAAAAGAAGATCATATACTGTAGTTCATATTGAACCTGCTAATGTTAGGAATTAAGTAAAAATATATTGTAGTAATGATAGCTCTATGGACTTACTCGTTCGATATCGAAAAAAAATAACTAGTCATATTCAGGTCTTATTCAATAAGTAATAGTAACTTTAGACGACTATCTCTCATTCACGTAACTTATTTTTCATATTCGATATCACGTACAGACAGATAGACGGATCGTCATTAATAAGGCAATCAAGTTGTTTAATAGTTTAAAATGTTATCTCAATTACAAATCTATCAGATTGTGCTTTATCTTCGGTCTTGTCTTCGTTTTTTTTTACGAAATCATTTAGATCATCTTCCAGCTTTCCTGACAGTTGAAGCTTAGTCGTCAAAAACAGAACAGTGCTCTTTATGAATAAATTTCTGATTAAATAAGAACCCAAGACGATGATTACAGTCGTTGAGATGCCCAAAAAACGGGTCACTTTATAAATTTTATAGTGGTAAATAGTTTGTAAATTGATGTTTAGCAGGCGCAGTATTATGATCTTATTTTTATCGTGCTATACACAGTTGATAAAGATCTGAAAATCGAGTATCCCACCGCTTATGATCATTTACAATACAGTGAAATACGGTCGTAATAATGCGGCTACCCTATAGAAGCGAAAATTTTTCTTAACCATTTAAAACTAAAATGAATTGTTTTCAACAGGATTTTACTACTATCATATCAACTGAAGGATGATGTCATATTGAAGAAATATAGAGTGTTATTTACGTTATCAATACATATAATAAGAAATTGTTCTTGAGCTTTCTGTACGGTACTATAGTGTTGACATCATTAATTTTCGTTTAACCTAAATAGATAATATCAACTATGGACTTCATACAATCAATCATTTTTCTATTAAGTTACACAGTGCTGAAGTGTACACTCCTTACTTTATTTTGTTATTAGTTATCGTAAGTCAATGTTTAAATTTCCATTGATTTAGAGAATATTTAAATTATTGATTACTAATTTAAGATTTCTTTATTAATGAAATGTTCTTTTTTTTTGATAGAATTTCATATCGGTGCAATTACTTTTTACAATAGCTTACTTGTGAAATTGAACTTCAGATTCTTACCTAGAATGAAGCATAACACTGGAAATTTCAATAGATTGAATCATTCATTTCTATTTGACGATATAAAAAGAAAAAAGATGCACTATTTATTCACGATTCGCTTGTACAGATTAGGAAACAATACTGTTGTATATTTCAAAGAGAAAATATTATTGCGATAATTGACCGATAATTCCTCATTCATAAGTGATATCAAGATCATTAACATAATATTGAATTTTTAATTCAGATAATACATATATATATAAGAATATCTTAAGACAACATAACGTCTTTTTTCTTACGAGGAAATCACTTCAGATGCTCTTCTCCGATTTCAATGATTTTTTGCCTATAGATACTACATAGTGTTGTAATAAAAATTTTTAAAGGATTTGAGTTTTAGCAAAGCTATCGAGATTTGTTTCTAAAGACCACAGGATTTCGAAAAATTCAGCTTTTTTCGAATTTTGATCTGAAATTTTTTGCATATAAAGAACTCAGCTAGATCAGCTTCCGCAAGCAATTTCACAAGTTTTGAATAAAGTCTCTTCGAAATGTGAGATTTTTAAGGTATAGATGCTTTTCTATGAATAGAGTATACAACAGGCATTGGTTGAAAGTTTCATATCTCGAAGAGACTTTATTCAAAACTTGTGAATATTTTTATGGACGCTAGTCTAGTTGAGTTCGCTATATGCACGAAGTTTGGGACATAAATTTGAAAATAGAAATATTAAAAATTCGATACCTTAATCGAATCTGAATAGAAATACAGATCCTTTTCGGATTTTTATTAGAACACTAGGTGGTATCTATAGGCAAAAGGTCATTGAAATTGGAAGGAGGTATTTGAAGAGATTCTCTCATTAGGCAATTTCATTTGAATACTACTAAAGGATAATGCTCAAAACACGACTGGTCCGTCTAGGAGTGAACCTCAGAATAAATAGAAATTTTTCTTATTTTAACAAATTAAAATGTCGAAAACTAAATATGCCGTAGGAGTTTACTAACTTTTGTCTAAGATAGGAAAGTAAATGAATTCTTCACTTTAAAAACCCCTAGTGTTTAGTTTTAACAACATGTTGTGATGTTGTTTCTTTACATTTCAAGAGCTTTTCTTGTGAATAATCGTCATGAACGTGATCACTTTTGACGACAAAAAGTTCTTAAGAGATGTTATAAGTTATATTTGATGACGATTTCTCTTTTGAAGAGAATAGACACAGGTTCAGCATTTTAATCAGTCTAGAAAAAATCTTCTCCTTAATAGATAATATCAGTGACATGATATAATTCTGCGAAAATTTTGAATAATTGTTTTTTTCTGAAAAGCATGACTTTGATAGAAAATGACGGTATTGACTGCTAATAGAGTCCGATAAAAAATAGAAAACATCAACTAATTAGAAAAAGACAAAAGTAATGGGAGTAATTTTTTTCTGACGTATAAAATTATATCTCCACCTTTTTCAGAAGGTGTAACGTGATGGTGAAGACGAAACACGCGCTCAAAGCTTCTTAGAAAAGTCGAGGTATAATTCATGCGTATAATATCTCTTCCATAGAAGGTACTTTAATACTATTAAAATAAAGTATCAAAACTGTTTTCCGAAAAAAAAATCAATGCTAATGCTATCAGCACTGAAATTCCATATAACATCGTCTTTCGCCAGTGGTCGCTAATATGAATGTCTTTGCCGTTAAAAGTACGAAGAAACATTTTTTTTTAAATTTCATATGAAAACAATTTTCTTCCTCAAAAAGGTAAGAAGTAAAATCGAATTTTTTGTTTCATCTCATAAATTGTCTCCGAGTAGAAATTTGATTGTAGCATAAATAATAATAAAAAAGTAATACTACCATGCATTTCAAAATATAATTAGTTTCGCTGGTTTTTGAATAACTTTTCATACGAACATCATAGAGACCTGTAGTTTTCATCATTCAAAAGAGAAGACCTAGGACTACCGAAATTTGATTCCTCTGCAAGTGACCAAGTTGGTGAGTTGTTGA